ATCCTCGAAGTTTACACCACTGGTTCCAGCAAATACATATTTTACAATTTAAAGTCGCAGTATTATTGGAATTTTTTAATTTCACCATGTGTAAGAGAACGAAATGAAATTTTATATTTAAATATGCCTTTCTAGTATGTTTAGTATGGCTTCAGTTTAGTATGTATTTTATAACTGAGATTGTGGTATGATCAGAAATTTTTTATTTTACTAGCAGCGAAGGATAAAATGAATTTTTTTCTACGTTTGAACAGATATTTTTAGGATAGTATTTTAACTATGTATATTGTGATTGGACATTTTTTTTATTTCAGCATCTGTGAAAGATAAAGCGAAGTTTTCTTTTATATTTGCATATTACATATCTTTGATATGATGTGCCTGTATCTTTTATAAGTATAGTATTTCTTATATTCTTCTTAGGTTAAAAACGTGTATTCTGCACGACAGACACTTTTCTTTTATATTTCAAAACGAATTTATAGTTTGATGGACTTTAGTCATAAATGCACGAACAACGTATAACATAGATAATTCTTCCACGCATGACATTAACTGTACTCACGTAATTGCAACTTTAATTAACTTGAACGTACGTCTGTAATTCTATCGCATTCCTTCGACCAGCGTCAGTAAATTACAGAAGTTTACACATTTATTGAAAGTCGAAGATTAAGAACAAATATAATAAATTTAACTAAATATTTAATGAAGAACAAATATAATAAATTTAACTAAATATTTAATGAATGAAATTAACCTCTAGTAAGATTTTTTTTTTTTTGCTTCTTTAGTCACGTCAAATATTTTACAATTTAACATTACAAATTACTTTCTGTTAATGTAATATCACAAATATCATTAACAAAGAGATAGTATAAATATAACATTATTTATATTCCACGTTAAATTTTAAATGTCAAATTTAACAAGTATGAATTCGAAAGTGAACTTCAATTCAAGTTATAAATGCAACGTTAATTTCAAATACTTTATTCTACAACAATTTTAAATACTAAGGACAATTTTAAACACTAAAAGTATCATTTTCATTTCCATAATACTTCCCAATGTTACGAAACAGTGGGATGACGCGACATTCTCGAAAGTGCAGGAAAATCCGTTCGTTTTTAACGATGTCTGTTGAACAAGAAGAAGCCTCGAAGTTTAGTTCTCGTCGTCTAATTTTAATTCAGATATTATTCATCGCATCAAAAACGGACGGTGTTCTTCTCTTAGCTATTTCACGTTCGGCAATAAAACGCCATCGTTCATTGAAACTGATCAATGCCGTCGTCGTTAAATTAAAACTATCTCTGTCTTATTGACATGTGCTCGACGTGGCGAGAAATTGTTACGATTATCGATCGTTTGCATCGATCAACGATGCACTCGATTAGAAATCATTGATACTTACGCGTCGATCGATCGTATTTATCGCGTTCACGATGGCTGAATCTGGCTGATTAATCTCGAGCGTATGATTGTCGATACTTAAGAGGTCTGTAATACCTCATTTCAATACGATTACGATTCGAATGACGTGCGCAGAAGCGGTGAATCGATAGTGGGACGTAATCCGTGGATTTGAAATTCGCAATTTTCTATGCTGATTGATTGATTGGCGATGAATGACTCCAGGACTACTAATGAAATTGTTCATTTGAATGTTGTAACGGATAGGTTACTTTTGGAATTGCGTGGGAATATTTTGAGTTAATAGAGTTAGGAGAAAATGAATGATAGAAATTTCGAAAAAATTCGGAGCTATCAGATTTTAATGGATATTTTAATGGATCTTAGCAGATTATTTTTTAAAGCTACATGGAATGATTTCGAAATAATTTAGAAAATTTCTGAAAGATCTGAAATATTTACTTTTGTATAGGGAACGAATGAATTGAAATGGAACGATAACGATAAGAACAATTTATTGAAGAGCTTCAATTTTTTAGAAAAGTCTCTAATCGTAAAAGAAAAATGAAGCTGGACACGACTTATGAACTCGTTAATGTGCTCGAGACAAAATATAACACGTCTTCGGTTCCATAAATAGACCCATTTGCAGATATACGTGCATAGTTTTAAAACGAAGAACTTTAGTCGAGATAACAAAGTTGTATAATTTCGTCCACGAGACGAGAATAATTATCGCTCTTAATTGTTCTGTCGAATATTTTTGAAAATATCTCGTCCTTCTTGTTACGAATATTACGAATGTGTGATTCAGTAGATAAAATAATCAGATAATTTTGAAGATAACGACGTTGTATTTCTCATGTCACATCTCATCATTTAGTTAAAAATAACACGAAAAGGAGAGACGAACGTTCAGTTTACTTTTTTTTTTTTATAGAAGAAGTGAAAATTTTCCTGTTTATAATTTTGTCTACATTTTTGTAGAATTAACATTGTTTGAGATTATAATCAGTCAAATGATCAATTTATAATCTATTTATAATTCTGTAAATTTACAACTGTACGTTTTTGAAGATCTAAATGATTCGAATTCGTAAATTCGTTTTATGTTATTTCAATACTCTTCTGTTGTTTCCTCCAATAAATATTCATAGAAATCTTGATACTTTAAAGTTGAGAGTTAAATAAAAATTAAACACGAATGAACTGCTTTGGAAGATTTAAATTCTTAATAAAGTATATTCGAATATTCATGCATTTTTCATTCTAGTTTCTACCGTAAAAATTCTTTATACTTTACTTGTCAAAAATTCATGTTAACGACACTGTTAGTCGGTATTTTCGTTCGTTAACCGGTCGCAAACGTTTACACGCGTGCAAACATTGTTAGCTATTTTCACAGACGCAGTTTACAATTCGGTTAAGGGAAGATCGATGTACGCATGTACGCTGACTCGATCTCGCAATAAGAAAAATTGGGTCGATGGTATTTCAGCCAGTTAGAACAAACAAACCGTTGTCGAAATGGTTTCTGAATTCTCGTTTACGTCTTGTCTCGAAAACGATTTGAAATAGATCCAGAGAACAAAAGGGACATTGCTTGGTCTGTTGATACGCGTCACATGTACGATCTTACGGCTTTCATCGAGCCTTCTTGCAAGTTAATTCAACTGCAGGATACGCTTAATATTATTTAACGAATTTTTATTTTCATTCCTATCTTAAAGTCCAAAGATTCAAGTATTTTGAAATTTTAAAATAAAATTCACGCAATGAGTAAGAACGCAAATATTATTTTCCCACTTGATCTTTTGAGAAATTGAATGTAAATTATCTACAACCACATGGCCAAGTTACAAAATGATATCAAGTAAATTTTTAATCTAACACGATATTTCGTTCTTTGATTTGAACGAATGTATAATAATCATTAATTAAATTAAATTACTATCAGCCATTAGAATCGTGGAATGTAATGAAATCTGTATAAATTATAAATTAGAAAAAAAATTTTATAAATTAGAAAATAGAGAAAAAAATTTTTATAAATTATAAATTAGAAAAAAAATTAGAAAAAAACCTCATTTACTTTCTCATGGTGTCTCATCGTTCAATGAAGCAGCTGTTCCCATTTTCTGAGTTCTAGACCGTTTTCAGGTAACCTCGCGTGAGATTTCCTAAAATGGTAATGGCCACTCGTTTAGTATTACGCGTCTCGAGGTATGATCGTTGCCATATACGAGCTTTACGATGGTGAATCGCTAGCAAATATTATTTATGCCCGCGTACGTTTCTCATTATCGAAATGGACTAACGAACATAAAACTTCTTTTCGTTCTGTTTGTATCTCATTCAGAGCGGGGAATGGCTGAGATTGAAGGTTCTGGAGGTTCAACCAGAACTAACGAAGCTCGGTGCCACGGTGAAGGAAGCTACCGAGCTGTCGAATGCACACGACGAAGTTCTGCTTCGATTGCAGGTATATTCCTACTTGCCTTGTAATTTGTTAGTAATTTTAAAGTCTCTGTTGACAAATTTTTGAAAATAAATCCAGTGTATGGAGAAATTTTTAATAGATACTCCTCTGCTCTGAAATTAATATTTTTTATATATCATTAGTATTATTTAAAGCTTTATAATTTTAGAACTTGTGAAAAAATTTTTAAAAATAAATCCAGTGCATGGAGGAATTTTTTAAAAATATTCTTCTGCTTTGAAATTAATATTCTTGATATATTGTTACTATTATTTTGAAGCTCGTTTCATTAGTAATTTTAGAACTTGTGGAAAAGTTTTTAATACATCTCTAATGCTTTGAAATTAGTATTTTTGATACATTACAATTATTTTATGGTATCCTGTCTCTCCTTCTACTTCAATATTCTGTGTCTGTAGGGGAAAAGAATTTCTTCATGTATATTGCAACATTTATATTTGCAAGAAAGATTCAGTTGTTATATCAATGAATATAATAATTTGATAAATGAAAATGAATTAACTTTTGATAAAAGAGCAAACAGAGCCCGGTGGAGGAATTGCTCCGGCAAGCTGATCAGTTGATCTCGAACCAAAGGCCAAGAGCGGAAGTGTACGCCGCGATGGCGGAAACATTGGGCCAAGCCTGGCGCGACGTGAACGAGCTTTTGGAACGTCGGAAACAGATACTCGACTCCAATGTGTTGTTCCAATGGTTCGTAGATTTATTTACTTCAAGAACGATTTTAACATTTCCTGAATAATTTTATTCTAACGAACATAAACGATTCTTTGAAAAGCTGGCGAATTACAAACATCTTCATTTGTTTGAACCTGATTTTAATTAGTACTCAATTAAATAAACTCTTGAATCCATTTTCCACCAAGTCCACTGATTCGAATGTAGAGAACTTTTTGTCAGTAATCAGAAGAGAATCGGTGAATTCTTTTTATATAAACTGTATAAAAGTTCATAAACTCACGATAGAATAATATAGAATAATAATACATGGATTCCTTTTTTTTTTTTTATAAATTATAAAGACTGTATTGCAAGCTCAGCAATAGAATGAAATAGAAGTAGAATAAAAAAAATGTTTTAACAGTCGAGCAGAAGAGTGTCGGGAAAGTATGAGAGCCCTCGAAATGGCATGCAACGATACGTTGCTGCCGATCGAGATCGAGGCGGTGAAGAACTTTTTGTCGAAAATCCACGATCTTCGGAAAAACATGCTCGAGGCGTTGATGGGCGCGTTGCAAGAAGGGAAGAATTTGTTGGACCGGCTGAAGGAGATCGCGAACGAAGGCACCTTGGACTCCAGACCGGATAGAATTAAGCTCGAAGCTGATCACGGTAAGCAGTTGTAATTAATGTTCCTGTTGGAAAACAGTTCATTACGTTCAATGTCGCTGTTTTCTTCGCCTGCTCCCTTTCGCTTTTAATCGATGACAGAATTTACGATGTGCTCCTTTCGCTCCGTTTTGGTATGACATCGTGTTCTTGAGAGATCGAATCAATTATCTCGCAATCGAGCTTCCCTTCCCTTTATATAGAAGATCTACTAATATCTCGATCTTTTGATTTGAAATTACGACGGAGTATCCTTCGTTTAAAAAATGTTCATTCTTTATTAAATACTTTTTGAATTTTTTATTTTAAAAATAGCCTTCCTTCCAGTGGATTGGAGGAGCAAATTATCTAATGATATTTAACTTTGTTTTTTTTTTACAGCGGTGTTGCAGGTGGAAAAATGGCTGGAGGAGCTTCACGACAGGAGACGGCTGATCGAAGCGTCGTTCCGTAGCAGAAAGACACAATTGGAGCAATGCCTGGCTCTGGCTCTGCTAGCGACCGATCTACGCGATCTCGAAGAGATCTTGAACGACAGAATCGCTGCTCTGTCGAGCAGCTGCGATCAGCTGGGGGATTCTGCGTCGAGCGCGGAATTGCTCCTGTTCGAATTAAAGAAATTACAAGCTGAGGCTAAGGTATTTATTGAATAACTATCTATGACATTGTCAATTATGCTACTGTTATTATCTATGTCTATCTCGAGTACTCGGTACGTTTAAAATAGCGATAAGCAAATTCGATAATGAAATATTTGAGTAATAAAATAAAATGTTATTGTCAAAGTGACTAATCCAACTGTTTCTTAAAAAAAAAAAAAAAAAAAAAAAATTGTCCAGGAATTTCAAGACAGATCGATCAAAATAACGAAGTCAACCGAACGATTAGTGTCATCGGGACACTTTGCCGGTGAACAGGCGACAGAACAAGCTTATGCGATCCTTGGCGCCGCGGCTGATTACGTCAACGATTTGGATCAGTACGAGTCATTGTTGAACAGAGCGGTGGCCTTTTTCAATTCGGCGAGATCGGTGAGCATTGATCTCCTTACACTTGCCTCACTTGACACTCGCGTCGTCATTCAATTTATCGAAGAACGGAATACTATGTTTTTATT